TGCTTAATTGGTAGTAGGCTTTCGAGCTTATACAGCTTGGAGTAAGACAACATGCATGAAGAGGATGATGTGGACAAAATACTCATTTGCCTAATAATTCTGCACTCCCTGTATTATAGGACAAAGTTTCCTGTGTAAAAGACACTAAAACCTTTTTAAGATTTGACAGAAGACGGAAATTTAATCACTACACCTCTGTGATGAACGAATAGAAACCTTTCACCTCCTTTTGAAGACTTAGTCATCGAAATGTTTTTTTTTCTTCTCAAAACCTTTATGACTTTAGAACAAGTTCTGCAAAAATGTAGGCCTTTTGTAGAGTAAAAAATCTTCAGAAATAAAAATGAAATGTGACGAGTTTTTTTTTTTAACTAAAAAAAATGCTGAAATGGAGAAAAGCAAAATAATACTCTTGAAACTATGCATCAGAAACAAAACAAAACAAAGCATGAGAACATACTGTATTGCCAACTTCTCAACAACGCTACACTAAACACATTCAGCATCCACTTTATTAGATACGCCGTTCCACTTGATGTCACTGGTGTGAGTGTTTCAGAAATTCTTGATGTACTGGGATTTTCCTACAAAACAATCTCCAAGGTTTACAGGGAATGATCTAAAATGAGAAAATAGCCAGTGAGAAGTGGTCCTTATTGATGTATGAGGAGAATGGGTGGACTGCGGTTCAGGGGGTTGGGAAGCTCATCTTGTAATCGGAAGGTTGCTGGTTCGATTCCCATCTCCGTCTTTCCTGGTCGTTGTGTCCTTGGGGAAGACACTTCACCTACTGGTGTTGGCCAGAGGGGCTGATGGCGCGATATGGCAGCCTCGCTTCTGTCAGTCTGCCCCCAACTGTAGCTTGCCTCTACCATTGTGTGAATCATTAGTGGAATTGTAAGTGCTTTGAGTGTCTAGAAAAGCGCTATATAAATGCAATCTATTATTATTATAATGGCCAGACTATTTCTACATAATAGGAAGGCAACAGTACTTTAGGTAACAATTTGTTACAAACAAGCTGCCCAGAAAAGCTTCTCTGAAAGCACAACACATATGACTTTAAAACAGTTGGGCTGCAGCAACAGAAGATTACACTGGGGGACACTGCTGTCTGCTAAGAGCAGGAAACTGAGACTACATTTCTCATGGACTCACCAAAATTAGACAACAGATGATTGAAAAACACTCCAATGGCCTCCACAGTCAAGAGATCTCAGTGCAGTGGAGCATCCTTGGGATGTGCTTGAAAGGAAGGAGTGTTACAGTCTTTGCATTTTCAGAGAAAACTGAAAAAAAGGGTAATTTGACTCAAAACACGAATGCAAAGCTGGAGAGTATTCAGGAGAGTGAGCAATGTAGGTTTGTGACTGAAAAAAGTATAAACTGTTTTCAGTGTGATTTGTCAGATTTAAGTAAGGAGTGCATCAATATAGTAACTGATCTCTTTATTAGTGAGGTATGTACAGAAACAATAGTGTGTATTAGGGCTGAACGATATATCGCATTTGCGATAATATCGCGACATGATCAAGTGCAATTTTCTAACCGCAAAGGCTGCGATTATACTCTGGACATGTCCAAATTCATGGGCTGCATCCTCCTGAGGCCGCATTTGTAGACCGATTACGTCACAGCGACGCGCCGAAGGCTGTCCAAATTACTACCATATCCCAGAATTCATAGCGCGGCCCAGCCAAACTCCAGTTTCCAGCAATGGCGGCCGCTACTAAGTTTTAAAATTACTCATACTAATCTTTCTGGGTCACAAAATAAACTTTTAACATATTTTCAGGCGAGAAAGTAGTTGTGTAAACATCAAATATCTGCTCGGTTTATCAAGATATCCCATATTTGCAAAAGTGCTTCGACGTTTTCAGAGGCGTCTGCTACCCTCCGGCTAGCTCGACAGCTAGCCGAGAGCTCGAGGATTACTGATGCGGCCGAGAACGGCACAACTCCCGGCACATCATTTTCAGATCACCGCGGAGTTTCGCTGCTCGGGTTAAACGTAATATATAAGTCACTTAGACAACCTAAAAACGTTATTGTTGGGCTTTTTTCAGTGTTTTGTTTGTTCGTGAGTAAATCGGTTTGGCTGAGATTAAAGTTATTAGATTAGATAAAATAAAACTTTATTAATCCCCCGGGTGGGTTCCTCCTTGGTTTTCACACAGCTGACTAAACGTCAAACAGAAAACTTATTAAACAGAAGTATGAGACAGTCGAGAATTTACACCAGTGTCTGGTTATATTTTAGATAGCAAGAAGCAGACGGCCGAGTTTATTAAACTCCACCGAGACAGCGGTGACGCTAATCAGAAGGCTAGACCGTCCAATTTCACGCCTTTAAATTTTAAAGGCGTGTTTGTGTGTGTGTTTATACAATTGCTATTATGTTTGCACTTTATGTGTAATGTTACTGACTGCAGAGATCAGTAAGATGTGTGCATTTTTTATTTATTAGTTTTATTTATTTAATATTATTTTTTAATTGAATGACTGTCTAGTAGTTCACAGATGTCGAAAAACTGAGTGTGGTAAAGCCACTGATTTTTTTTATGTATATTTCTGCAATTTGCACATTGTACTGACTTTCATTTTAATGTTTACACCAGGGTTCCTTGTCAGCACTTTATGCTCAGATGTTTGTAAGCTAAAAATAAACTATTGTGTATGTTCAAATATACTGTTGTGATTGAAGAAGTTAAATAAAAATGTCAGTCATCAATTCATGCATCACCTCATGTCATCATAACAGAGGTCTGTCTTCCAGGAAAGAACAGTTTAAAATTAATGTAATATAGTATTGGCCATACTATATGATGTATTGCTTGTCTTTGTTTAATAATACAGAAGACAAAGACCTTAAAAAATAATCGCATATCGCATCGCAATCGCAATATTGGGGCAAAAAATCGCAATTAGATATTTTTCCATAATCGTTCAGCCCTAGCACTGTGTATGACAACAATGAGAAAGTCTAATGTGGGCAAAGAAATGCATACCTGGTTTGAGAACTGTATTGAGAGTGGCAAATGACTTTTCTGCTGTGAGTCTCAGAGAACAACTGCTAACCCTGTTGAAGTCAACACGTGGAGTGCAACTGGCAGTGTGACATAGCTGGCTCTGGCCTTGGGACTCTGTTTTTACTTGATTCATAAATGGGACACTGGACTGTTTTATCTTTTGATTATTTGTCAATAAATTATCTTTTAGAATTTTATTGACTGTCATCATTTTGCCCACGGCTGTGACAGTTGGTCAGACCTAGAATCTGGTTTGGGTGTGTTACAATAACCTTTAACTCCTACTCTGAGATAGGTATTCTGTGGTCAAAGAGAACCTTTCAGTGATGCAAATGCATGATGAGGAATCAAGATGTAAACCAGGGGTCCCCAGTCCCAGTCCACGAGGGCCAGTGTCCCTGCAGGTTTCAGATCTCACCCTGGGTCAATGCACCTGAATCACACGATTAGTTCATTACTAGACTTCTGGAGAACTTCAAGACATGTTAAGGAGGTCATTTATCCATTTAAATCAGCTGTGATGGATCAAGGACACGTCTAAAACCTGCAGGGACACTGGCCCTCATGGACTGGGATTGGGGACCCCTGATCTAAACATATCTCATGTCATGTGTCACATCGACCATTAAAAATAATCAAAACAAGAATCAGCCATAACAGCTAGCTTAAAACACAAAATGACTGTCAGACAGCGAAGTCCAAGGTTTATTGGGCTTACATGCTCATTTATTGTAGACTAATGAAGTTGTTGTTGTTGTTTTATTGCTCTCGTGTTTCTCATTTATGCAGGAGTATTTTTACTGGATAACACACCCTTGTTAATTGGCATTTTACATGCAGATGGAAGGTTTTACATTAAAACAACAAAATAAATGATTAGTTAGTGTTGTTGCTTAGACCATTAAGCAAAACCCCCCAAAATGAATTAATTCTGAAATGAGAGGTAAACTTAATGACTATAACATGAAATAAAGTTCACACAGTCACAAAATGATACAGAAAAAACTGTTATGAGAAAACAAGTTAGTGTAAAACACTGAAAATAAATGGCTGCAGAAAATGGCAGCAGAAGACTGATCCATCTTTTCAGAATCAGAATCAGCTTTATTTGTCACAAGCAGGTTGCCCTGCAGTGAAATGGGACACCCCCCCCACCCCAACCTTACAAGTCGGAGATCGGTAGCAGTAATTATAGGACTTGGGATCTGCTGTTGATGTATTTATGTGTGATATTGTGTGTGACACATTAAGGGTCCCTTGTGTCTGAGGTGTTTTGGTGACATGATGGAACTGTCTTTTTGTTTTTTTGTTTTTTTTTATCAATGTATGTTTTATGTTTGAGCTTACACAGTGAGAAGTACACTTAAAATGTTTTGCCAGTAAATTTATCATTATTTCCTCATTACCCTTATATACAGTAATCAGTTACATAGACTGATAATAGAAAAAAAATCTGTGTGTTAATAATCAATAGGTGATTATAAAACAGCATAAAAAGCATTAAGATCCGTAACATTAATCAGAGTTCTTGAGAGTTTGAAGCTGAATCGACTTGGAAGATGAATTTTGTCATTTTATGTTATACATTGCTGTTCTATGGCTTGACTTTTGCCCAGAGTGATGATAATGCTACTGAACCAAAGCCATGCTATCCTGACATCTGTAAACTCCTGGAGGACTTTGGGGCTTTGACAGAAAAAGTGAACTCTGTGGAAACTAGGCTGGCTCATTGTGAAACCAAGCTGAAGGACACTGACACTAGTCTTAAGGACGGTGAGACCAAGCTGAACCACACTGTAAACAGGCTGCAGGACAGTGAAAACCAGATTTTGGAGCTGCAACACAAAGGTACAGCAACATCAAGTGCAATAAATTCATTAAACTTTTTTTGTTTGTTTTTAGAGGAAGAACAGATATTATCAGAGCAACAACAGGACTGGGAAATTGAAGGCTAAAAACAGCGTCTTTAAAACCAACATATGGTTAATGCACTAGAGTGTAAATTATTAGTAATGCCAACCAACATCTCCATGGTAATATTGATCAGAAGGTATCAGTGAATGCTGTAGTTAGGTTAATTATTTTTGACTTATGTGTGAGGCTATGAGATGAGATGTGTTGGAGCATATTGCTAATATAGTATTTGTTATTCTAGTTGTCACTTTGAATAAATTGAAAAATTATGACCTCTAGACTTTGAATTTCTAGGTAGCTTTACAGTGCTTATTATAGGTGCTTGTCATTTCATTGTCTGTTGTAATGGAGGACGGGCAAAAGTAAAACCAAATTATATTTGGGCCATTGTCTGCTTACAGTACAGAATACTAATATTAAATGATTCTGAAGAATTGGTATCTTATTATCCATAAAATAGTACCTTTTTAGCATTTATTGCATAAAGTTTGCAGATACATTTCAAAGAGTCACGCAATGCACTTTTCATTCAACTTGTTCACTAGCAAATGTACAACTGTTTTTTCAGCTGAGACACCTTGATAAAGAAAATATAGAAAATATCACAAAGTGCTGACACATGTTCTCCTGAAAAGAGTCTGGTGCCATAAGAGAAAAAACTTAAAGAACAAATACTGAAATAACATGACTGTCTGTGAATCATTACTGACAATTCATAATTCACAAAACAGGAGGAGGAACAAAATCAGCAAAACACAGTTTTTTGTTATTTTTTTTTATCTGTGGGGAAACATTCATGCATTTATTTAATTGTATTTCATGTTTGTCATTTGTTTTTCACAGAAAGAACCAAGATCATATTTAGTGCATTATTAGGCGGTGGATATGTTGGACCCTTCAGCACAGACAGAACCTTAGTCTACAGCAGAGTAATTACAAATCTTGGCAATGCTTACAGTCCAGGAACAGGTGAGATTTTCATTGTCTTATATCTTTAGTATGGCTTTCAATACTGCATGAGAGTTATTTACTTATTTATTTGTTATTAGCTATTTGCCATTGATATTAATTGATATTGCTATTTTATTGTGTGTTATTTTATTGTGTCATTTGTATGTTTGTACAGCACTTTGCTCAACACCACTGTTGTAATTAAAAGTGCCATATAAATAAATAAATAGAAATAGTTTACCTTGCTATCAGTAATACTGCAGTTTTTTAAAGCTTTTTTTTTTTAAAGATAACTAAATGTTTTTTGTTTCATGTTTTTTATCTTATAGTTTTATTTTCCAAAAGTGTATTTATTGTGATAATACAAATATTTTAAAAATGTGTTTATTCCATATTTATTTTATTGAAGGACAACAAATAAAATAAAATGGTGATAAAGTTTTCACATTCTCTTTTACTCTTCAGGTGTGTTTACAGCACCTGTTGCAGGTGTTTATTACTTTACCTTCTTCTGTCATGCTGGAGGAAATCATCCTCAACGGGTTAATCTGTACAAGAACAGTTTGGCGATCGTCATGGCAAGTGATCATAGTTCAAAATATGACTCAGCTGATAATGCAGGGAACGCAGTGTTCCTGCAGCTGCAGCAAGGAGACAGAGTGTATCTGCGCATGGATGCAGGCTCGCACCTTTGGGGAGGCGAAAGCCAAACAACTTTCAGTGGTTTTTTGGTCACTCAAATGTAAGAAACAGCAAACATACTTCTGCTTGAGATAACAAAACATTGTGCAGTTGCTTTTAAATAAGGCTTTACACAGATGGAATAAACTTCTGTGGCATATGTGCTCAGTGGTAATCTTTTTTTCTTTTTTTTGGGGGGGGGGGGGTGGCAACTTGTGTTTTAATTCTATCATTACTCTAGTACATTAACTCATTTTAACAATTGCTTTTACTTAGATTTCAATTTGGTTTTAGTGCTAAATATTTTCAATATTGTGCTTTCTTTAATTTCTTTGTAATGTTTGTTTATAATGTTGATTAAGGTGCATTCAATTTGCTCTGTATTCAAGGTTATTGCTTTATAAATGAAGTTAACTTGCTTTTTTTGTTTTCTGAATGTGAAAAAGTCAAATCAATCAATACAATTCAGTTTGATACTTCATTTATCGTAATGTATAATCAATGTTGCATGTAGAGCCACCTTTGCTTGTTCATGTAAACCCTGCCCCTGTCTCCTTCTGTTGGGTGAAATTTGTAGGAGATGCATGGAGAGGTTCACTACATTGACTACGTTTACACACAGCCAATATTCAGGCTATGGTCGGGTCAGGCTCACTATTTGGGTTTCTGAAATGTTCTGAATAACCCATTCACATGCATGAGACGAGAGAGTCACAGAGAACCAGACGGCACATACACAAAGTTCCTCTACTCAAAAGACCAGGATTCCTTGGGAATAGAAGATGTGCAAAACACAAATCCATTTTCATTTTGATGGCGATATGCCAATAGAGGTTTTACATGACCAAATATTTTGGTGAGAAAAGGGTAACTCCAAGACTTATATTTAGATTTTTAAAACTCAAATATTTGGGTTTTTGTCTGCATTTTAAAAACAACGCTAACACACCAGCTGTGTGGGGCTGCAGTGTACTGTCAGTGAAGATAATTTATCTGTGCATAAAAAATAACTGGCATTAAGTCATATTTGTGTTGCATCAGAACAGCTTATTTAACACACACACACAAGAGCAAACTGTGCAAGGAGTTAATCCCCTCTCTAATGCAACAGAAAGTGACAGGAGATATACACCTGGATTTGACTGAGGCTCACTTTAACCCTTTAAGACCTACCATAGAACCAAGTCCGCCAGAGCTTATATTATATTTTTACATGCTGTGGAGCCATTTTTGGGAGCATTTCAAGTTGCTATACATCAATACAACCATTATAGCCCAGATTTTAATAATATGTATTCATTAAGTGCATAGTAATTACATAAATTGCAAAAAAGTGCAATAAACTACAAAAAAATTGAAAATCGTTTTTGATTTTTTTAACATATATTTGTAGTTAGAGAAATTTAAGAGTCTTATCCCTCAAAACTGTAAATACAAAAAAGTTGCACAAAATAGTTTCCCACCACAGGAAATTTATTTTGAGTGTCTTCATAGTTTTATTTCTGAAATACACCAATTTTTATACACTGCAGGAAAAACGAAAATAAATATTATACTGCAAATTTGCAAAAAAGCAGCATATGCATCAAAATAAACTATTTCCAGCAGTGCAATATGAGTCCTAAGCATCCCAGAAACGACACAGAAAGTCATAAAGTCAAAGATAACTTTTAAAAAGAGCAGTATAGGCCCTGAGGCCCTGATCGCAAAAAGGACTACATTTCCGCGAAAATGACGTCACTTCCGGTTTCGGGCAGGTAATGGCGGAAATTCAAAAGTTCGCGCTGACGTCTATTCCAATGTAGGAAGTGTTTTGAACAGCTGATCAGATCGGTAAAGCGTGTTTCTGGAATATTATGTTTTTGTTCCTGCAAGCGCTTTTTATGCAGTTTTTGCAAAGCTTTATGTGGAAGGAAACCGTGACCGAGGACAAGCTGATGGCATCAGATGTAAGTACAACTCCTCCGGTTTCATATGCAAAAAAATTTTTTGCGCTAGCTCACGTGGTTGCAGTGCTACTGGGATTTAAAAATAGTTACGCATAACAGAGCGTTCCCGCTCCGATCGGCTCTAAAGGGTTAATTTGTTGCTTGAAGGACCCCGCGGTCATGCTGCTGACAAACTAATGATCTGAGCATGTGAAGTAACCCTTATGTCTTCTGTCTTTAATGATCCACTGCACTCTTTCGTAAAGTATGAAGTAACAAAAGACTGAAAAAGAGTGCAGCAGGAAGAAAGTCGAGTAAAGCTTGCTGAGAGCATGTAGTGAAGAGAGTGGGGAATAACACATAGTGGGGGGAAAGCACTCCTAGGGCTGAAGGAAGAGTAAAGGAGACAATATTCAGCTGGTTTCATTAAGATTTGGATTTATTCAAATTACAAAATAAATAAAATTAAAATCTTAAACATATTTTATTCTTTTATCATTGCAAACACAGTTAAAATATTTAAAAGATATTCCCTAAATAGAAGTTTGTTTGTTTCTTGTGTGTATCTGTGTAAAACATATTGCATATGCTGTAAATGGATTATTTAAAGTGACTCATGTAGACTGCAGTTGAAAAAGTGTCAGTTTACAGTATCTAAACTGCCCAGTTAGACAAATGATGACAAAGGACCTGTGGAATTAAGCATCTTGTAGACTAAATGCTAGAGGTAGTGGTTTAAATCAGCTTTTCCCAACCACGGAACAAAAGTATGCCATTAGACATCATCAAGGGTGCCGTGGAAGATTATCCAGTTTCACCTGATTGGTACTCTCAGCAAGTGGCGTGTTGTGACAGGCAGAATATTTACATTCTGATCAACCAGTTCCACCTAATTGTACTGCCCTTACCACCAGCAAGACGAAGTCATTCAATATTTATATCTTTTATTAGATGTTCATGTGGTTTGGTTATTTGCCTTTTGGTTGAAAGTGCACTGAGAGAAGACTTTTTGTTAGTGATCTTAATAGTATTTTTTTCATATTAATGTAATTTTTCACCTAATTGAATCTATTTGTGTATGATTGTCAGTCCAAAGAGGGGAACGTGAGGAGAAAGGGCAAGGTCAGGAAGAACCAGGTAAGAAAACAGACAGGGAACAGTGACAGGCAAAACAGAACCTGTTAAACTGACAAAGGCAAGGCAAGTTTATTTGTATAGCACAATTCAACAACAAGGTGATTCAAAGTGCTTTACAGAGACATTAGAAACAAAAACAAATAAAAAGCATGATTTAAAATTGATTAAAACAAGCAAACAAACAAACTAA